ATCCGCTCCCGAGGGTGGCGTGGGCTCCTTCCCCGGGGGGGGGGTCCTGGCTGCTGAGCCCCCTGCTGGGGCTTATCTCAAAAGAAAGAGCTCGTAAAGGTTTTCGGGGCGCTAACGGAAATCTACCGGGTGCTGTGTTCGGGGGAAAAAAAAAAAAAAAAGGAAAGCTCCAAGTTTTCAGGAGTATAATAGTCTTGTATATGAGTCAGAGGCTGAGGCACTGTGGTGCTGGAGAGTGATTGCATTGCAGAAGAGCAGGAACAGTTGGGATAGCCTTTCTGTCTTATGTCTTGTAAATGCACGTAACCCGCTTCTCTGACTTGCGGCAACCAGTTGAGAGAGACAACCAGTTTTCATGAGAAAGCAGCATAGAAAGGGATGTGTTCCCTGCTCTAGAACTTGGCTTTCTTCCATATCCTTAACAGTATGTGATACACAGGCATGCTTTATTTTTGATTGATGTGTTAGCAGACTTATTTTCAACTACTCCAGTGCTGCACATCTTACATGTTACAAGCTGGGGTTTTTATTTCAGATCGGCTCTAGTGGGCAGGTGGGGTGTTCAGCTTGTTCTGGTGGTCTCCAGAATACTTCTCAAAGAAAGGGGTGAAAAGCCGGGATGATCATGTGTGAAGGATACTTGCTTGTATTTTTAGTACTGTCTGATAGCATAAACAGTAGTGGGCATGAAAACATCTGAAATGGCTGAATAGCTGTCATTTAAGTATCCGTTTCTTGTTCTGTGATATGAGGAAAAACAGATAATATTTGAAAGATACTTGCTTTACCATGTGTGTTTTGCTGAGTCTTATCTTAACATTTGATGGGCTAATACCCCTTTTAACATTCAAGGGTAGGGATAGTAACGCTCCTGCTAAGGGTACTTCTTACCTTTTCAACTACTGCTTTAGGTTTGGAATAGTTATTGGGGGGGAATTGTGGGTTTTTTTTTTTTTTTCCCTCTCTAATTTTTACTGACCTATGAGCCCTTAGTAGGAGGCAGAGACCAAAAAGGTACAAGGTTGTCTTGGCTATAACAGCAATTTCTAGATATGCTGTTACCTTTTATCTCTTCCACAGCTTTAAAGTGACTAATACCTATATATTTTTCTGTTTGTCCCTCATTTTCTTTTTCCTTTTATGTTTCCAGTAATCTGTTGTTGCCTTTTTGTTTGCTCATCAGTGTTTGCAGTGTCATCTGTGCTAGTGTTTGGTTTTGGTTCATGTTTGATTCCTGAAGTGTTATTTGGTAGCTTTTTGCCATGCTTTACCTTCTCATATTGTCCAATAGATTTTCAGCAAACTGTTACAGAAGTCTGAGGGCTTACTCGCCAGAGTTTGTGTTTCAGTGCCTTTCATGTAACTATTGATTTAATGCTTGCTTAGTTTACAGAATGGCAAATATGAATGCCAATACACAGAATTATGAAAAATGCCATTCTCTTAAATAGTGGAGAATTCTGTAAGTCTGTTCAAGATTCAGGAAGAAATTTTTAGGAGCATAACCTCAAAGAAGTAGTCTGTGTTTGCCATTACAGCTGAGCTACTCACATGTGCATATAGTCTTCCTGTTAGTCCAACATCAAACTGTCTTTATCAGTGAAATAAATCTTATTATCTACTGTTGTGATCTTAAAAAATATTATATAAATTTGTCCAGGCATTTGATTGTATAGCCTGTAGTGGAAGGCTTTAAGAAGTCTTGAAATGGTAGTACAGAAAACAGGCTTTCCTAATTGAAAGGACAGTGCCTATTTGGATTCCCTTTTGAACCTTGAACCTGGAATATCACATGCGGGGATCAGATTACGAGAAAAAGATTATCAGTGCTAGCTCTTATAGATAGCTGGTATATGTCTCAATGGATCTTCATTTTCCGGGTAAGCTGGTAATTTATGGTATTGGAGTGTTGAGCAATGTAGGTATTTTCCATAACTGTGGGATGGGAGGGGATAGGGAATTGAATGAAGAACAAAGCTGTAAGATGTATCTTAAAATGCCATAAGTTTGAAAGTTAGATTATTACAAAATTCTGCAATTTTGACCACTTCTGGAACATTGTAATGTAGCTCGTTAAGTTAATTGTGGTTATTTTAGTCAAACTCAGATTTTTTCCCCCCCCTCAAAACTACTACTTCATTGTTCTTAGAGGCTCGAAGATTTAACTGCAAGAAATAAACTCGAGATTAATTAAGTATACAGTGTATAAAAAGTGTTTCAAAATCCTTTGAGATTCTAAACTCCATTTGCTTGTAACTGTGCTTAGAAATTTGGAGATTATGTTTGAATTGTTACAATGGTTATAAGGTTCATGCTGTACATAAGTAAAGAGAAATGAATCACCAAAACCTTCAGTATAGTAAAGTTCACCTTTCTGTAAAAATACAAACTTTTTTTAAAACTTTTTGTTTTTTAAAGGAGTGTCCTTATTCTTCAGCTGAAATAGATCAAGAGTTTTGCTTGGAGTACTACAAGCTGCAGCCATAATTAGAAAGTAGGTCACATCTGGTTTGTCACTACCTTCAATCGTAAGAATTCCTCTTTACTCTTAAAGGAGTAAAAAATACAATTTTTTCTCTGGCTTTTTTTTCCTATTGTGTAGAAACTTAAAAACTGAAACCTGTTTTGTCACTAATGTGGAAAAGTAATTAGTTTTTACTCATGCTCTTGTTTTAATAGATTAAATCTCTTTAAGCTTTTAGTGACTTTTTCAGTGGCATGCATATTCCAAATAACCTTTTTTTTTTTTTTAAAGGTTAGTAACATGACTATCCATAAAAAGCAAATAAGGTGCATACATATATATCTATATATATCTATATATATATATGGATGGATGGATTCTGACTGGTAAAGACTCATTCTCTTTAACAACTTTAGAACTTTGAAAATTGATTTGACAGTCTCTGTAGTTTCTGTGTTTAAGCTGAACTGTTTTCTCTGGTGCATATCAAACCTGTGTGTTTCTCAAGTCCTTTTTAGAAAATAATGAAATGGTACAGTTTCAGTAGGAATAATAAAAGCAGTAAACGTTTTAATGTGTTGTTATTTTATTTCAGTTGCAGTTTTAGTATGTATGACAAGACGGGGATGGAGTTGATGTGGTTTTCTATTTCTGTCCTTCATAACTTCAACCTTTAACTGCTGTGCGATATCAGGGCTCCAGCTATTGCACAGAATTAAGTCTTGTATAATCAAGTCCCTGTTCAGGAAGTAGCAGAAAATGTAGGAGGTCTTCCTTTAAGTGCCACCACTTATCATATCACTTGATATGATATTTGTAATTACATTTAGTAAGCTTACACTGTACTATCTTACCTTTCCATAGGTTTACTGTTCAAGTCTTACAAGTAACCTGACTGCAGCTTACCTAGCTGTTTAAAGTTGAGTGTGTTTTGATTAGCTCCCAATGCTGTGACCTAGAACTGTACTTTAGGTAAAAGCATACCTAAAGTTTCTTTCTTTCTTTGAAACAAAATTGTTTCTTAATGGTGTTGGCTCCTGCACACTGAAATGTTATACAGGGTTACAGTGAATGTATTTTAAGTAGCTGTGCCACATGTCCCAATTATACATAAGACGTAGTGCATGAATTGAACTGGCCTTTCTTCTCTGGTTTTGTAGCTGACGATCAATTAGAAGCAGTTCTTTTGCGTCGCCAGCTATGCATTGCAAGGTAAAGTAGTGTGTATGAGGAAAGGTTGATCAGCAATCTGCAGTGAAGTGGGCTGCACAGCAGGTTGCCAGGGGAGACGTGCCCCGACTGACTTCCAGGGAAAAATATGGAGATGAAATACGATGTGATTAAAATGCTTCAGGCTTTGGCTGGCATGTTGCTTTTAGTACAGTAGAAGTAGGTGTTGATTGCAAATACAGGACGATCCACTTGTACAAGCACAGAAATGCTTGAGGCCCTGGGTTTCTTCCTGGTATGAGTGAGCACCTGCAACTGGAAACTCCCTGATTTTAAAAAGCTGTATGAAATGGACACTTTACTGAACCACGAGTGTACATTTGATTGTACCTTGGGATGACAGCCAAACTTCTTTCACTAGGTTAAATACTTTCAGATAGCTTAATTCTGTACTGGCATTGATTTTTATAGAGAGCAACCTTAAGATAATTAGAGAATCAAGGAGATGACTGATTCCCGATATAAAATTACAGTCTATGAAAGTGTTGTCTTGCCCTCTTTGTAGATGTTTTCCTTTGCAGTGCTTCGTTGTTTTTTAATAATATTTTTATGCATATGGAGGAAATGGAAGGTCAGCCTTCTAGCTATTTTGTCAAGCTGACAAAATAGATCGTATTGTAATTTGACGTTGATGTTGTACCAGGTGCTATGCTAGTGAAGAGCTGAAGGTTGTGCTGAGCAATAGGATTTTCAGAAGTTGCCTGGAGTATTCTCTTTTGAGAAAATTGTGTTTAAGGTGCAACAGAACTGATTCGAAATGCTAAATGGCCACAGAGGTAAAGAGCTCAGCATCCTGATTAAGTGATCTCTCTCATCTGACGTGCTTGTCTCTTCTACAGTTCTGTACTGCATGTTTACAAGCTGTTGCCTCTTTGTGCTGCCTCTGGCAGCAATGCAGAGCACAGGTTAACAACTGTAGGACTGAAAATTATGTTTCTTTTAGTATTAATTTTAAATAGTTTTTGAAATATGTTAAGTATCAAGCTTGTTTTCCTTCTGCTGTGAATTTGAAATGAAGAATATCATTCTGTAGTGTAACTGTAGACTTATTTTTCCCAGATCAAAGTATTTTAGAACGTGTTCAACGGGAGAACACTTCACTATAGAGGTGAGTGCTCACATTTATAGCAGTCCTAAATGGAAAAAAGGCTGATTTCTAGCAGTACCTTTAATACTTTTTGCAGTTCATCTATAATGAAATATTCCAAGTTATTTCAGACTGAATTGATGCTTCACTGGATGGCAAGATATTAGTTCCTATCCTGTCTTAAGAATATTAATACATTATCTCCCTGTAATTTGTCAAGACAAAGTATCCATTGTCATCTGATCATCAGCACCAAAACATTCTAAAGTCTGTCTATTGCATCTTTCATCGCTGCTCTGCTAGGAGCATGGGGATGTTTGTCTCTCCTTTTTTTTCTGCCACTTTAAGTGTAGGATATTTAGTGCACAGATCTGATCTACAAAAAGCTAGTCAGCTAAGGTTTCCTTATAGTTACGCCCTTTGCTTGTTATAGACATCCTTTCTTGGCATCTTTTGCCAAGGTTGCTGTAAGGTTAATTCTTACAATCTGAGGTACTCAGAATAACCTGGTTTACTTTCTTTGAATATTTCTTATGGTCTAAAAGTCCTAGACCTTTCAGGTGCACCCCGTTACTGAGGTCAGCAGTAATAACTGTAATCACTGCTTTTGTTTCCAAGAAAAGGGGCAGAGGTATACGATTGGTGAAATCTGTTTTTAAAATGCATCTTTCAGTGTGAGAGAATGTTGCTACAGCAGCAATATGATAGAGAAAAGAAGGTTCTGCCTTCCGCCAAAGTTCTTACTCATATTCTGTGTACTGCAGTTAGTCGGTATAAAGGTCAGTAAGAAGTCTTGCAGTAGGAACTGCCCTCTGTTTGATGTATTGACTCCATGTATAATTACTATACTGGAAATAGTATGGAGGATTTCCGCTTGCTTTGTTTCATGTTATATGATAGTTCAATCTCTGCTGTAAGAGTTTGTGCAGCTTAGAATGCTCTTCAAGTATTTTTGACTGGTTTGGGCTCTGCATACTTGACTTCCTTTCAGAAAGCATTACATTGCCTTTATTGACCGTCAGTTTCTTATGTGAAAAGCTCTGTTTTTTCAGAATTCTGGATAGAAAGTAACCCTATGTTTTCTGTAAATTTATAACACATCTTCAAATACTTTTTGATAAGCATCACAGTTGTCATGCAAGGAAAATTATTTGTATTGTGCCCTTCAAATTCTGCACACTTTTGAATCAAAACGGTGCTTTGGGTTATGTACGAGTCGTAGCACTTCTGCCACTACTTGTATTAGAATACATCAGGTAAGGGCTTATAAGCTAACGAGACTTCATTGTTTATCAGGGTCCTCACATGAGTTGTAGAGAAATATGTGAAGGTTTTTAATTTTGACTCTTGCCCTCTTCAGAGAATGTAATGTTTAAGACAAGAAATCCTGGTGAGAGTAGGTCCTATTCTCAAAGTAATACTTGCCCAGAAGGTAGGAGCTTTCATAAATAGTATTGCAGTCCCAACATTATCATTGGAATAGTGTATTGACAAATTAGGTTAAAATGTAATCATGCTTACACTAGGTGTTTTGTGATGCTTTATACTGTATTGTAAAGATTGTTTACTTCTTTTTCTCTGCAGTTTGAGAACCTAGTGGAAAGTGACGAGGTAGGTACTAGATCATAACGTGAAACCTGCTAGTATAATACACTCATTTAAAAATGATTTCAAGATCTTTCTCCCATTTCATGGTATGTTGACCTGCTTAGACTTAAATTGCTGGAGGGGGGTACTTTTGAGTTTTGCTTGCCCTAGGAATAAATAATTTTATACTTTGGGAGAGATGAAGACCTGAGAGAAGGGAAATCCAGTGTACTGCATCCTCGGGATATAGTCCTTTGGGAAAGAGAGCACTATGGACATTAAGAAGACAAAAAACAAAGATAAACAGAAACAGAGAGATTTGAAGGAGAACTTGCTCCTGGTATAACTCTTGTGTAAGATTCTTCAAATGCTCTTTATCTGAGCCAACAGGAACATGAGTTGTTTCGCTAAGGAAAGCGTTAAGAGCACTCTGTCCTGAAGATTACGGGTAAACTGAAGCAGCGTTTCAGAAAAAAAGAAAAGTAGGCCTTCACTCTTAATTTAATACACTGTTAATTTTTCCTGTTAGCTTGATAACAGCCAAAACTGTTTTCAGTATCCTGCCCTGTATTTAAAAACATGAAGACTAATAGTTTGGTTCCTCAAGTACAGCAACAGAATGCTTATTTTCATTTGGAAGCCCTTTTTAATTTGTTTTACTTATAGACAGCCAGTTCAGTTTGCTATGTAACAAGATCCTTTGAAATTCCAAATAAAAATGATATATAAGGAGAGATTTTCCTTCCCATTGTAAAACCAGTATGTGGAGGAAACTGTGATTTCTTTTTTTTCCCCTCTGTCTTAAAATCAGTTGATTAATGGGATTCTCAAAAACTTAGATTTTTTTTTTTTTATTTTAACAGGGGGAAAGTCCAGGAAGCAGTCACAGGTAAGAATTTCAGATTCAGGACCTCTCCTTCCCTCTGCTTTCCCATTGTGATTGTTAAATTTCTGAGATTTCCCATCAAAACCCTTTTTGTCTTTTTAGTTATCAGATATGTGGAAAGAATATATGTCCTATTAACCTTAGTGTTTAACTTTGTCAGAACATTTTAGATGTTAATGCATCTTGCAAAAACTATACATGACAGAGAATCTTTATTCTTGTTCCCAGGATCAGCATTTAGAGTTACGCAGGTGTTAGGACTGCAGATTCAGTGGACCTTCTTGTGAGCAGTAGTTACTTAGAGGCCTGCTTGATAGGAAATGTATGTTAGCACTGAAGCATGCACTTTGGTTGCTTAATTCTAGACATCTTGTATTCCTTCAGCTTGGTAGTTCCCAAAATGTTATTCTCCATCCAACCAAGACTCCTGGAAAAGCTGTTGGATATAGCAGACTTCATAATTATTGTAATGCTTCTGCAGTCTTGTTTGTCTTGTTTGTTAAGTGTATGTAAAGTAGATAACAGATGAATGAGGAGCAATTACACTTGGGTGACCGGAACAAATAAGAAAATAGTGAGATTTATGTAACAATGACAGTTTAACTATTCTATTCCAGTAGTCCTTTTAGCAAAAGATGTTTGGGGAACATGCTTTCTTTAAAGATACAGAAAATGCTCTGCAGAGGGAAGGAGAGACAGTGATGTCTTGAGTAAACCGGACCTTTGGAACTCTGGGCTTAGGAAGAGTAAGACAAAAGCACAGCTTGTTGAATTTAGATTAAAGGACCAGTCAAAAAAGGCTATATGAATGTAGTTAAGTTACTTTTGCAAGTTAGAATTGTCATGAATAAATAATAGTTGCAGTCTTTTTACGTTCCTCCCATGCTTTTAGGCCTCTGACTGAGGAAGAAATTGCTGACTTGAAAGACAGGCACTATGACTCCATTGCTGAAAAGCAGAGAGCTGTTGATGTGAAACTTCAGTCAGAGGTAAACAGTTACGATGACTAGTGTGGTGTGGGGTAGTTTTTTCTTTTTAAGTATTTAATCTTAACCATGAATGCAGTGAGATCTTATTCACATGAACAAGATGATTTGTCTTCATCTCTTGGGTTTTTTAGTCTACAAGGTACCCAAAGAGATTGATTGCCGTGAAATTAAATTTACATCAGAGATTGTTTCTTGTCATCAATCTCTCAGATGACAAATGGAATAAATAGGCTAGTTATTTGTTCATAATGATTAAACCATAATTCTTTTCACATAAAAGGCAAAACAGGCAGGATACTTGATTCAGCTTTTCCTATGCTTATTTTTTTAGAGCTTTTCTTAAGCAAAGAACCTAATTTGTCACTTTGCTTTGGAGTGTTGCAGTGATTAGTAGACCATGATGTGGAATACAATGTAGAAATTAAGAATGATTATGAATGAAGTACTAGTGAAATATGTGTTTGAAAAGTTTTAAGCCTTTCACTGTGCAGTTCATAATATAATGCAACCATGCATTTACAGCAATTCACTATTTTCCTGGTAATTATGTTTATTTAATAGGGTAATGTTTACCTATCTGCATTTCGTGGGTGTTTTGATGGGAGGAGCTATCAAGTTCTGTTAATGAAGAAAAATGTTTTAACTATAGTCCATTTTATTTTATTTTTATTTTCTAGTAGCTCTTTTAATTTATTGGAGTTACGGTTTTATTCATAGGAAGATTAGATAGGTTCTACTTTTGTTAACCCTTACTATTTTGTTCATATACAGTTAGCCTTACAAGAGGAGAAGTTAAGAATAGAAGAGGAGGCTTTATATGCTGCACAACGTGAAGCAGCCAGGGCAGCAAAGCAGAAAAAGCTCTTGGAGGTGAGGGGAAAAAGACCCCAATATATATCAGAGCTTCTGTTCTGTTCTCGTGTATACAGACTTTCCTAATGTCCTTTACATCTGAGGAAATAGCTTTGCTTTGGCTTGTAAATTCCAGTGGAGAAAGATAAAGAAATACCTGACTTTGAAAGTACAACTGACTGATACAACTGAAAATGAACAAAACTGTTTGAAACACCTTATGACACTGAGTATGGAACTTGAATGAGAGAGGTACTTTTTAAAAACATAGAATTAGCTTAACAGACTTTTGAAGAGCAGTTATTGTCTATATAACATATGAAGTGATATGTGATTGTCCTCTAACGAGAAAAACTGAAATTAAGTACCCATAATGACATCCTTTATATTTATAAAATACACTTCATATATTTATATGCGCTTAATTTTTCCCATTCTCTGTGACTTGCATTAGCATGAAGAAGTGTTTCTTAATCTATATTCATTGTTGACTCTGCTTTGAGCCAGAGGTTGGACTTGATGACCTTCTAAGGTTCCTTCCAACCTGAATTATTCTATGATTCTGTGATTTTATTCATAGTAGCCAAAGTCCAGTAATAAATACTTAACAGTAGTGGTGGGTTGTTTTTGTTTTTTTGTTTTTTTAATACCTCTCTGCCTACTTCTAGATGTCTAGTGTCTATGCCTATGCCTGTGGAGCTTGTACAAGCAAAACAAAAGCCATGTTATGTTTTCCTGCTTATTCAAAAACATATGCTATTCTGTCTCCTGGTAGTATTTATGAATGAATTTTTTTCATGTTGAAATTTAAAGAATTATGTATTTTAACCCTTGGTTATTAGTGCATTCAATATATTCACTATATTAATAAGATAGAAAAATATGTAGTCTTGCAAAGATTTCAGGTTGCCAGAAACATGCAAATTAAAAAGAACATTTGTAGAATTGTTACTGTCTGATAGTATGTAATGGTATGGCTGTATTTGTAGCATGCTCAAGGAAACAGTTCACGGGGCATGTGGTATATGTATGACTACAAGCAATTTTTTTGAAAGTTCAGATTGGCACTCATTGAAAGAAAAAGTTTCTGGAATCTGCAGTAGCTATAGGGAAGATCTTTGACCCTAGTATATTGTCTGTATTGAAAAGTGAATGAATTGAAAACTGTTATTTGCAGACCGATGGTCATGACTCAATTTTCATCTAATAATTATGTTGCTAAGTATAGCTCATGTCTTATTTTACATTTATATCTTCTTGCTGTTTGGGGTGGGAGGGTTAATTCTTTTTTTTCTTTTTTGCCTGCCTGCTTCTGTTTGTTTTAACATATTTTTCATCTCTTTAAAGTCAGCAAAAATAATTAATTTTATGCTTAAAGCTTTAAGCGTTCTTTGTGGATGTCCTGTGCAAGAAGTGCTATTTTCCCTGTCTTCTCTGTTTTTAGTATGCCTGCCTTTTAGTCAGGACCTAAGATAGGCTATATTATAGAGATTTGAATTTCTTCCCCTTGTAGGACCAGTACTGTTTATCTCCTTTACAAATAATTCGATTTCTGAGGAAGCATTTTTGTATAGATATGCTTCAAGCACTTAAACTTTCCAGATAAACTGGAAGACATTTTTAAATACATAGCTCATCTCTTTGCTGTTTGTGGGCAGAAATCTATTAAATGAGAACGACTCTTTCACTGGAAAGATGGCATCTTCTTATAACAAATTTGGCTTGCTTATGTTGCCCAGGTAATTGTCAGGGTTTGTAACAGCAGAGAATGTTATTAGAGGTGTGTCCTGGAACTTACAGCGCTGGATATTTGTATGTGACCTAACAAAATGAGTAGATAACTCAAATTCACATACCTACATAATACAGGATTTAAAAAGGAAACTGCTACGTACATTAGAAACTGATTTTTTCCTGGCTTGCTTAACTATATGTTGGTGTCAGATTCCTGGCTCTTTCTCCCTACTTACTTAACTCTTCTCACCTCTAACTACTATTAGGTGATATTTATACTTTTTCTGCAACTTCTCATCTCCTCACCAGATTCGATCTGCTTATTCTGATGCTTGCTTAGATACCTAAGAAAGATGGAAATTGTGCTGAGAAATGAAGCCATCGTCATCTTGCATTTGATCAACTACTATTTTCAATCCCATTTTTTTCACAAGGCTGTTTACCCAGCTAAGAGCAGTTCTTAAATAAGGTTTGAAATTGAAATTGACAATTCTGGTTTGTTTACCCCTGTTTTTCCTCTTTCAGGGACAGATTCATTAATGCCGAGAGTAGATTTTCAGAAAACATGGTAGCTAGATATGTCGGATTTGACTATAAAATTAGCTTGTTCATTTTTTTATGTTAGTCTTTGCCATGATCAGAGTAAACAATTACAGCATCATAACTAATTTACTTTTCATCACATGGTCAATGTACCCAATTTTTATATTCTTTTTTTTTTCAAGGCAAGGAAAAGAAACTTGAGTCAACTTCAAACCCCAAAACTTCAAGAAGCAGAACCACCCTACCACTGTGGCATCTGTTGTTCCCCTTATGACTGCAAAATGAATGCTTATATGGGCTTGTGTCTTGCATTTTTCACTCTGCCTAGTTTTGTCCCAGCAAGGCAATAAAGCTTTCATTAATATAAATGATGAACTTTCTGCTGATGAAGGCAACCAAAGGAGATGACAATATTTCTTTATGCAGTGGTAGAGGGACCTGTAAGAAAACTTTCTTTTTCTTTTAGACTCAGTAACTGCCTGCTGTTCTTGTGCACAGAACAGAACAAATCAAACTCAACCCAGGTATTAACTGTGATGAAAATATTTGCAAGTTAAAAAGAGAATACAGTGCAGAAGAGGACAGATGCAGTCATGAATAAAGTGGTGTTCACACGTTTCCAGACGAATTGAGGTTTCTTGATCATTGTGCACAAAATAGGTTAAAATATTGTGAGCTCTATTCACGATACCCTCTTGTAAATGAGGAGTATGATGCGGTTCGTGAGAACAATGCTACTTGTATATAATGGTCGCTTCAGTCTCATTAAATTTGATCTTTGAGTGAAAGCCAGTCTTTCCGTTAGCTATACTTTGACCGCTCCAAGCTGAGAAAGAATAATGCCCTTTCTGATATCAGAGTTCAGAGAATGAGTATATTTGCGTGGCTTCAGCAGTTTTCAACAATTTATTTCTTTTGCTAGCAACATAGGCTGCAAAGGATAACACAGAGAGCGCGTGCTGTTAATAATGGAGAATATCAAAGGTAAGATACAAAATGTTAATAATGCTAACTGAGAACCAAAACTATAATTACTTCTGTTCCTCACCCCTCCACCAAAAAATCTACTTTTTTTTTTTGAAACTTACAAATGCAGCGTTCTGAAGTCAAATGTGGTTTTGTTCTGCTTACAGTTTTTTCTTTGCAGCAAGTAGTTATGCATACTTGTTGCCATTAATCTCCAACCATAGAGGGTAGACGGTATTCATTCTGATGTTCACTGGAGTTATTAGAATGATGCATGCAAAACTGATGATACAGCCAGCTACCATATATGTAAAATCTAATTTTATATTAGAGATTATACGTATATATAATACACACATATCAAATCTTGTCTAATATAAACCTTTTTATTATTCAGAACCACATTTGAAACGCCCGATAAAAATACACGCTAATCAAATGGAGAATGGAATAGTTTATATCGTCTCCTTGGTTCTTCATGATACTATTCCCATAATTCTTTTTATTCCCAGCTGTTTTGTACAGTGCTAATAAAAATGTAAAGAAATTTACTATGAAACTTTATTTTAGAGAAAGCTCTAAAATAAGCTGTTTTTGAAAGGAAGAGAAGGGAGAGAAAAGGGGACAGAAAGATATTCAGTGAGAGACGAGATGCACAGTAAGAAAAAACTGTGAAAACTATATTGAATGAGTAGGAACTAATGAAATTTTAGAAGCCAGAGGACCAGAATAACAGGATTTGATTCATTAGGTAACAAAAGGAATTGGAAGTGTAAGCGGTATTACGCATAGTGACAAAAAATGAGAGAGGAAGAGTTGCTTTGTGACAGAAGTGAAGATAATTCATTTCTAATTGAAGTTACTGGTAAAAATTGAGCATAGATTCGGACTGGGAGAGGATTGATGAGTAGGAATGGAAAGGCATTCTATGGATCATTTTATAAAGATTATAGTTACAGCTGTGTGTACTTTGTAGCACAGAAGGGGCTATGAACAGTTTCTTTAACTGTATGTGAACAGTAGGACACCTGGATAAAATTTTTAATAGCATCATGAGAGATTTTTAAAGCCAAAAGCAGAATATTTAAGTGCATTGTTTTTACAGTTCTGTTGCAGAGGAAGATCTTGATTCTTTCTTGAGAAATACAAAATTCCAGTATGAAGCTTTTCGAAGCAGTAGTAAGTCTTTCTCTTTGATATATGCTTTTAAATGTAAAGTGTCTCTGAGGAGCATGGTGTGATTTCCTCCCTCCCCCCCCGCAAAGATAAACATCATTCTTATGTTCCTATCTGTGTTTAAAAAAAGTAATAACAACAACATCAGGCAGGAACTCATTTCTCTTGAATTCCTGATGCCTCATGGGCTCAAAAAGCACAGCATATACAACTTGTCACAGCCATTCCCATTCTAAAAGGCAAATTCTGTAAGCGAACAAGTCCTTTGCATGGATTTCATCTTACTAAGACTTTCCAGCCATCTGCGTAGAGACAATAACCTGCAGTAAACTTTTCTTGTAAAACCTAGGTGTTTTTAAAGATGCAATGTGTATATAGTTATTTTTTAACCATTTCTTAGCAAAATATACTAATGGTTAATTATCTCTTCTAATGAAGAGTAGAGAGGATTTAGCTTCCTATATTTAAAAATTCCTTAGTACTATGATTCCTATAACAATCTATAGGAAAATAATTTTGTAAATTATCTGTAAGCTTGATTAGAGTACCTGATAGTCAGCAAGAAGTTGAGGACTGATGGTAGTTCTTGGGAAGCACTGCCTACAGTTTGTGTTTCTTGGTGTAAGTCTCTGTACAAGTCCAGCTTACTAAATTCCTCTAAAGGTCTCATTAGTCAGTATTGCTAAGTGTCCTCCTGCAATCTCTTAATGTTGTTGCGTGCCCTTAAAAATCTACTGGGTACTCTGAAGTGACAAAGTGCTTTTTCAGATATTCTTGAGGTTTAAAGTCACAAAGCACAGTAAGTCTTTTTTGAAAGTTTAGTTTTGCAGGTTGCATCTCAAATCAAGTATGCTTGCAATTTAAAAATGTATTATTAATATAGGACTTTCATCTGATGCTACAGTACTGACACCAAACACAGAGAGCAGTTGTGACTTAATGACCAAAACAAAATCAACAAGTGGAAATGATGACAGCACTTCATTAGACTTAGAGTGGGAAGATGAAGAAGGTATTTATTCTCTCATTCAGTTTCATTCTGAACTTACAGATCAAAAATGCTGACAGTTTTGACTCTGGTTGTAAATTTGTCCTTTTTTGTAAGGGAAGGTGACTTAAAACTTTCTTCTCATGGCATTTCTTTTCAGTGTATACTGATTAAATAGTTGTAAATGATTTTTAATTAGAAAATTGCTTATTTTGGTAAATGTGGTCATCTAGCTAATAAATAAATTCATTTATTTGGATCCTTCAGTAAATCTGTTTTTCTGCACATTGTGGTACCATGGTGTGTACTAAGCCCACAATAAAACTAATTGTAAAGAAATGCTGCCCTCTTGTGAGCCAGTAGCAGCAGGAACAGCTTGTTTTTTGTTTTACTATGTAGAGTCAAGATTCTTTGACTGAAAAGTTTCAGGAAACATTGATTCTTTTAAGCCCTAATTACTTTTACTATAACTTCCAATGGAAACTTAATCTTAAGACTGCATTCCAGGTGAGTACCCCAACTATCACAACTACTGCTGCTGTTTGTTATAGATGTTTTCTGTGCTCTTTGTAGACTTACTAAAAGCTGTTGTCTGTGTTTCAAATTTAATCCAAAATTTTGAGACCCTGACACCTTCAAAACTGTGAAAAATAAACTAAGATTTATTTTACTGTAAAAGAAGTTACTTCTGCTTAATATAATGTGTTTTTTGACAGCCAGTGTATATTTCAAAAATTTAGCACTGTCAAGAAAATTAAAATGACTTGTTCAGAAAAACCAGTTTTGAAAGACAAACTTTTCCCAGATTTTCCCAGAAATACCTCTCATTTTTTAAGCTTGTGTGTGCAAGAGCTATTATTAGCATTCTAATGGAATTGAAGCTGGAGCAATACAGTGCCATATATATTGAAATATACTGGATTTTAGTTTGGGAGGAATTAGCACCAGTGCAGAAACAGCATTCTAGGAGCTCTTTGCCCTACCCCATACTTCAGAAATGGGCAAGTTGCATTCTTTGTTTTTTACAGATTGAGTTGTTTTCCCACTCTTAAGTGTTAGCTTAATGCAATATCTTTCTAAGTAACTACAGAAAAGTAGATGAGAATGAGATTCAGTCTTTACCAGACATACCTGCATGCAAGATGATCGTATTCGTTTGATGGGTTGAGGATTTTGTTGAGCATGGAGCTGTATTATGCTTGCCAATGGGGGGACTTAATTCTGTGGACAGAATAATAATCAGTGAAGTTTGCTATTCATTGTTCGCTACTTGATTGTATCACTTTCACATTTACCGAGTAATAGCCTACTCATAAGCTTACATGAGGTTTTGAACTACCTAAATAGTAAGTGATGAGAAGTGACCAAAATGGCCGAAAATAAAATTCCTGCAGAGTTCTGTTTCTGTTTCCTGTTACCCTCTGTTGTACAAGGGAGGAATAAATTTTAAGAGTTCATGTCATGTGACAGCAGCACATCTCTTCTCCCTAGTAACTTCAGAGCTTGACCAGAAAATATGGTAAGAGGGCCCCTGCAAGATTGCTTATGTTTGAGAATATAGTCTCCTGGCTCTTTTCATGGCTGCAGAGGAATGAGTATGGTCATTTGAAAGACGTAGTAGTCCTTGTTAAAGGCCTTACAAAGTCCTTACAATTCATCCTTGGTAGATCTGGCCTAAGCATCTGCCTGAAGGGGTTGACTGCTTCTTAGGTTTAAAAGGTTTAGTTATTGTGTTTGATTGCTGGCAAAAAGTTACTGTAAGACGCTGGACGACTCCCAAAAAAGTGTGTGTGTGTGTGTGGTTGGGCTTAGTGAGTTGGGGTGTTCATTTATGGTCTAGTTGTACATTTTTCTGTTAGTAAACCATCTGGGGATTGAACATAAAGTAGAGAAAAAAGTTTTTGTTGTTTTTTTTTTAAGGATGTTAACCTTTTAACCACTAAAACTTGGATAAGAATAACAACAAAATATAATGTTGCTTGAACTGAAAAGTTGCCAGATTAGGAGGTTATTAACAAGAAATGCCTAGATCTGAAGATCTGAACTAGGCATGATTATGTACTATTGATGGTAGTGTATAATGATTAACTGCTACTAATGGTAGTAATGAAAGGGTCCTGTGGATTGGAGCTGTTTGAGCACAGCAGATGCACAGTTCTTGACCTGCAATGTTACAGTGTCATATAGAAAGATAAAAGGGGTGTTACTGTTGAAACAGTAATTGTTCTGAATTAAATACAGAGTTTTTGGTACAGTAGTTCTGTTTTCCTTCTTTGGGGTCACATACAGATAGCATACAAGGAACTTGTAGTACTGATGCGGTACTGACATTTTTGACAGTGTATCTTAAATGGTGTAATCAAGAGAGATAGACAACAGCTTCAGTGAGCCATCAGTAGCAAAGGAATAATCACGTTGAAAGTAGCTGTGTTTTGAAAGACTCATCAAACATTAACATCAAATCCATCACTTCAGTCTGGGGAAGGGAAAAACTTACCTCTTGGATATTTTTTTCCCAAGGTTCCTCACCAAAAGTTACTTATGTAAGTGTTTCACTTGAAATATGTACGTTCAATTATAATTAATTAGTTAGCTAGTTGCTCCAAACTTAAAAGGGGAATTTACTTAGGAAGGTACGAAGAGAATTAAGAAAAAAAAGAAAAGAACCATGATAAATCCTCTTTTTCTGCTCCAATGGTAGAGAAGGTGTTAGACTTTCTTATGGTGTATCAAACAACATACATAGAATCTCTAATGTCTTTGTGCAGTTTTCTGATCAGCATTTTGCATGAATTTAAACATACCTTTTCAAACAAACAGAAGACCTTTCCTATATGGTATCTAAATTTTGGCTGCTGTTTAAAATGTTTCACTTGATGAGGTTTAAGCTACTTGTTAGCAAGTTGGAGGAGTATTACAGTATTCCCCAGATACTAGCTTTTCTAGAAATGGCACAGTGCTGAAAATTTTCTAATATTGGCATGCCCGTAACGGAGGCCAGCAGACTGAATATATGGAGAAATAAATACTGCTACTGAATTGTTTCACTGTTCTGTGTCTTCCACAGAACTCTGCAAAATAACATTACTAGCTTTTACATTTCTTTGGGCCAAATAAGTCAGTAGTTTGCAGGCATAATTTGAATAATACTAGAAAAAAATAAGGTGATACTGAAGAGTGAAATTAGCAGAATCTGGATCTCTAAAGGATTGTTGTTGTTTCTTCTAATGTCCTAACACAAATGCGAAGATGCTTGCCCGAAAAATTTCTTTTTCTCACAAGCATGTCTTGAAATTGCAGGCATGAACAGAATGATTCCAATGAGAGAACGCTCTAAAACAGAAGAGGATATACTCCGGGCAGCACTAAAATTTAGCAGCAAGAAGACTGGAAGCAATCCAGCTTCAGCCTCTGATGATTCTAATGGTCTGGAGTGGGAGAATGACTTTGTTAGTGCTGAAATGGATGATAATGGCAATTCAGAGTATGCTGGATTTGTAAATCCTGTCTTGGATTTGTCTGCATCAAATGTAAGGATATTTGACTCTGACCAGCAAGACAGATAGTGAAACTTTGAGGCTCTTGTTTATGACCAAATGCTTAAAAGTGAAAGCTTTTAAGCTTCAAAAAGAAGGGAACAATGTTATAAATTAATCGGCAAGGAATGCGAATGACTTGCTATCTGAATTAATTCAGAATTAAGTGCAATTTTATGCTCTATCTTCTAAATTTTTGTGAAAACTGGGATGAATCTATTGTGTATATTTCTGGATATCTGGGTTTAATGTTAAATTATCTGCTTTGCAGCTTGACGTCTATATTTTAACTAGGCTTTTTTTTCTGGGTTGTGTATTTGTACTGATTTGTTTTTAAAATTCATCATTGGCCTAATGTTTATCTCAGAAATAGTCTTACAGAATTTATCTAATACTTGAATATGGAAAAAGGTTTTTTTGTGGTTTTTTGTTTGTTTGTTTTGCAATATGTGCTCTTTGATTTGTTCTTTAGCTATTTAGGGAGTGAAACTGGCAATTTACCACATGTGAAATTTGTTTTGCAGTTGGCTATTTTTCTTAACTTATATTCTTTCTAACCTTTTTTTTTTTTTTAATACTAAGCACAATTAACCTGAATAAACATAGTATAGATCATCAGGTTAGGTAAGATGCTGTCTTGCATAATTTGCCAGACATAGTGAGAGTGTGCTAGATAGAAAACAACTATAAAAATTCTTTATACTTAAAACTGGAAAATATCAGCATTATTTAATGGAGAACTAGGAAGACCAAAGTTTTGATTCCCTCGCACCCTCCCCACCCCCAAACCCTGAAACAGATCAAAATATGTTATTACACAGCAGTTAAAATTCTTAAGTTGTGGAAGACTTGTAATTCAGGTTGATAGGAACAGTTATTGAAAAGCAGCGTTCGCTGAGCAAACCAAAGAGGGGGACAATTGCTCTGCTACTAGGTTGGAAAGAACAAAAGCCTGAAACCTGGATTTCTGTATCTGCATAAAACCGAGAAGGAAGAATGTCTTTTGTCAGGTTACAAAATAGTGTATTCAAGTGCTCTAGCTTTCCTGTGCCTCTTATTAGGAAAATTAACCATCCAATTACAGGCTGAAATTTAACAGGTTACTGCAAATCTTGTGTAATTTATTGTGTGATCTTCCCCTTATTTTTAATATAAGTTTAAAAAAATAAAAAGTGAACTAAAGAGAAATGCAAAACAATTGCAAATCTCAAGCTTTCCCCAAAGTTTCAGTAAAGCCATTCTATTCTACTGCTATTTTGTGTTGCTCTCTTCCTTCTCCCTAAATAAAGGGTTTGGGGTGCAATTTCTCCATTGTGGAATAAAAGCAACACACTGTGTTAAGTAGTAAAAGCTGCTTTGTGAGAGGAGTTGAACGTGCTGGTAACACTTGTATAACAGTTTTGGATTATCTAAGCCCATATGACGTCAGGGTCACTGTAATGTGATCCTCTTCATTGTTATTTTAGCTTAAATAAAAATACTGGATATTTGGATTAAATATGTACATACATTGACATTAGCAAATAGATAAATCTTTTGTTGATAACATTCCATTTCTTAATTTAAATTGTAACTATGTCATTGGAAATATTAAATGTAACTATCTGCATTTGCAATGCCTGTAATATGCTTTAAAAATCAATTGTATATTTTTGGTTTGGCATAAGCTACTCCTGTGTAACTTTTCCTAACATTTATTCGTATGATAACCTATTGAAAGGAAGGCAACTTTCTCAACATGTAAATAAACACTTTTTTACTTGCTGAAACTGTAACTTACTCTGCAGTCGTCACTACTTTTCCTTAGCAGTGAACATGAGGTTAACTTGTCCTGACCGTGCTTGAGGGAAGTAAACTAGCTGACAATCTTGCTTTGCAAAATGAGCAAGCATTTGGCAAAAAAGCAGCTTTAACTTCAGCTGAAGGTTTCTACTGTAATGTGTGTTGTGTAGCTATGGTATAATAGCATTCCACTTTTCAGAAGAGTTCAGTGAATCACATTAATGACTGATTTAAGAAATTATGGTCAATGTTTGCTAAAATAACAGTTTAAGAAATTGAAGGATGATATAAACTGCTTATGTGAAATAATGCAACGGTACTGTAAAATATATATCTGTACAAACTTAAAATGCTATAATTAAAGTAATTTCTTAAAAATCTTTAATTCAGGATCTGTATTATACTCATCTTTCATTTCTCCTATCACTTTTCTTAATCTAAAGACAATTGATAATCAATAGACGCATTTCAGATGTTTTAAAAAGACTTCCCCTTTCATTTGAATAAGGTTTTAATTTTACAGCTTCTAATGTGCCTTTTGCAAAAGTAAATTCCACTTAGTTTGAAAAACCAGATAACAATCTTTTTGCTTGGTCATAAGGGACAGTATTTTGGGGTTACTATTAGGAAGATGACTAAGTGTCAGTAGTGTTTTGGAGTTTGATTAATATCTTCTCTCATATGTTAGTCTTAAATTTGGCATGTATGTGAAGAGGAATTATTAACATGTAATCCAAAATTACCTGTGCCTCAATTACTAACAAAACTTTTAATAAATGATTAGCTGTATCTGTACTGAACTTCATAGCATCCCTTCTTTTGAGGGCTGTTGCTTTGGAAAGGAAGCTCTAACAACCTGTAATAATAGAGGCCTTGAGGAACTTGCCATACAGAGCCCTGCTTCTTCCAGAAACAAGAAGCTTTCCCCTCAAAGGAAAGATAAACCTGGTCTTGTAACAAAGCAGCTTCCCTGTCCTCGTGTCTGTATTAGCCAGTGTACCATTTTAATTGACTTAGCTGATTGTGCCTGTATGTATGAAATGCAGCGTCTTTTATAGGAAATTATTATTTTACTTCCATGGAAAGAATATTAGTGAGTTGTTCGTGTACTGCTTATAGATACAGAAAGCTTTTGTGCTAAAATCTTTTCTATGCTAAGAAGCTTTGAGCAAAAGTTCGCCATCATTGCAGTTGTGCCATTGCTGAATAGGAAATCATTTGACACAACTATTTGGGCAGTCTGTTCAGAGTTAGTGGACCTAATTGTAAAACTGGTGTTTCAGTGTTGTGTTTTAGTATTCCACAATTGTAAATATTAGGATAGCTGACGCAACTGAAAAATTATTAAAAGTACTACCTGTCCTATTGCACGTAATATTTCTTACAATTAAGTTTACGGTATATGACTAACGGCAGTCTTCAGGAAAAACATCATCTGAAGATACAAAATGAGTATCGTCAGGGTCTAAGCTTAATTCTGGAAAGCAGAAGTTTTCAGTTGTATTGCATTTCCGAGTGACTTCAACTGGCAGCCTTATATAGCTTCCTATTAACTTTGTTGGCTTTGTCATCCTGTTCCTAGGGGCCTAATTTTCCTCTATTTCCTGTGTGCCTAAATTAGGAACAATACTAAAAATAATAACCACCTAAAAATAATAACATTCACCATCAGACTGTCTTCCTTGGATTAAAATCTTTGTAAACTTGATTTCATCTGCTTTTCTTTTTATGGCAATAAGACTTTTTTTCTATAAACTGCTGAGTACATTTCAAAACTTACTCTTCATATTATGGCAATTAGGTTTTCCCCTTGGAATCACCTTAAGATAAACTGTAGGTAAATTTTATTTGTAATGCAGAGGTGATTGAGATGTTTTATTCAAAGGTGGTCTTTCCATGAGTTGATACATGTCAACAATAAATGTAATTCAAGTCAATAGGATGAAATGACTATGTGGTCAATGTAAAGGAAAATCAAGGCTTTTTTTTCAGAATGGAGGGATTGCGTAATGGCTGTTAAGATTGTTTTTTAAAAATGCTGAAAGACTCATTGTAAGTTAAGGGATCAGGCTTATGAGAGAGTATTTGCTGAACAATGACATCAAATTATCCATCCACTTTTTTTTTAAATAAAAATAAGTATTTTCACTATCATTCTTTTACTTTGCACCATCTTCTACAATGAAATAGCCCCTGGATACATAATAATGAAAGGTGTCATAGATTATCGGAATGTACTTGACTCATGACAGCAAATTTTACTGACTTACAGAACTCATGCTTGTTCATGTTGTGAAAGGGAATCCTACGTAAATACTTTTCTTTGCCTGTTACTGCAAAAATGCATGGTCAGCTATTTTCTTAGTATGTCTCTGGTGGCTATATATCGTGTTCAAAACTTTAATTTTCAAAATGTTTTTTTTATACACAGCTTTGTGTTTTGCTAATGATCTACTATTTGCTTATGATATGTCATGAATTAATACTAGGATCTCTGTAGAAATTATTCCTAATATATTAAAGTGCAGCTAGTTGTTTTCTTGCTCACCTCTTTCATCTGGTAAGTTACCATGGCCTGCTGGCACAGCATGGTTCATGCAAAATGCTCTGATGTGATTTGCATTGACTTCAATAGACACACAGTTACTGAGTTGGGCACATTATTAAAGCACGTATAATAAACCTAGACTTTAAAGTGAAGATTGTGTCTGCTCTCAGGTTATACACAATCATTCAAAGTAACCCCAACATTTTTTAAACTGAGCAGCTGATTCTCCTTCATTGAAAGTTTATTTTATCTGAAATGGTTTGCCTACATTTAATAACAACAAGGTTTGAAAGTTCATAGAAACAGCGTGCAAATGCTCTGCTATGTAAGGTAGACAATGGAAATTGTGATAGAAAAGTACTTTGTGATTTAAAAAAAAAAAAAAAAGTCATTCTATTCTGTCAAAATCCATTCTCATTGTATGGCTGCCTGGTTTTGTTTGGGGGGTTTTTTGACGTAAACGATTTTAGTTCTAGATATGAAATTACATTTAAGAACAGCTTTATGTAACAATGTCTTTAAGGTCTTGAAATTACTTGAAAAGTGCCCAGATTTACTAAGAACATCACCGATATTTTCTTATGTTAGCAGACGATCATTAACAAGTAATAACTTGTAGAGGTATTCATCAGGTGTGTGTGTGTTCCTTCCAGTATTTTCTTGACTGGCATCTGTTATAGAACTGGTGACTACAATTTCTCAACTGTGATGTTTATATTTGTTTTACAGAAAATGATAGCATTCTTAAGACTTTGGGAGGAATCATAATAAAGTAAGCCCTTTTATTTTTTTTTGTGTGTGTGATCATCAGTGCTGTGAGAGACTGCTGGTTTTCTGAGTGTAGCTCAAGGCACCTGTGTGAACAGGCTAAAAATCAAACAAGAGTATGACCTTTATGGTTACCCCTATCTATTTATTTTGTAGCATGTATGTCTTTTCATCTTTTACAGCTGTGTAAGTACTAGACTTCAGGCCGTTTTCAATGGTGATACAAATTCAGAACAGCTCTGGAGCAGGCCCCTCAAGACACATGCAAGAGGACCTTAAAGCCAACTGTTTACATTTTCACGGTTTCCATTAAATGCCTAGTCTAAAGCCTTTGAAACCTGTGGGAACGTTTCCAGCGAGCTGTTAGTCAGGCTCAGAGGTCTTTCAGCAGTGGCAAAGTGAGGAAAGCAGTATAGCTTATCATGAGACAACCAAGCCATAGGAAGGTAAGTGCTACAAAACTGGTAGATGACTAGTGCGTCTGATGCTGTCCTTCAGTTAGATGATCCCCAACTTCCAGAACAGAGCAAGTACTCACAATTTTAAAAGCTGCAAACAGACAGTGGAACTTTTGAGAGCAATTTAGTTTTCTCCCATGTGTCAAAATGACTCCTGGACAAACTGCCTCAAAATTTTCATACCACCACCGCCAGCTTCTCATTTATCTAGAATTGTATGCAGTACAACTTTTCCAGGCTTGTATTTCAACCTTTTGTGTGTCTGGCTGCGAACTCATGGCCACCAGCTGCTCTCAGTGAAACGGTAGCCAAATGCTTGGGATGCAGGCACAAAGATAGCTGTGAGCTAACCCTTACCCATCTGTAGCATGTTGTGCCCTCACCTGCACTTGGTAATGCATTTATTTTTTACACTTTCACGTGCAAAAGTAACTGGACTTTCTCCTTACACCGCACTATTTTTTAACATACTGCCATGCTCCTGAGTGACTTCTTCAGCCAGGACATCTAGGAAGTGAGCTTTAACATGAAATACTTTTCAAGTCACTTGATATTGATACTGTTTTCCTCTTTGAGTCAAACTACTACATCTGCTGTTTGGATCAACGTAAGGATAGGATTCTCCTAAGAGAGGAATCATTTTGTTCTATGTATTTTGTGGTTAGTTCTTACCCCAGCTAAATATAGATTTGGAAGTGATGAGGGTTTGGAAAGCATTGATTTTTCTCGTTGTTGGGTTTTTTTACATTCCCAAGATGAATATTTTCTCCTGGTTCCTGGAGTTGTGTCTATTTAATGTTCCACCCCAGTTCTATGGATGTCCATAGAGTCCCTCTAGGCAGCGTGAATGCAGAATGTACAATGAGACGCAGCACAGTGAACTCTGCAGAACAGACAGAAGAATTTCTCAGGTGAGTAAGTACTGTTTGTAGACACTTCTGCTTATATAATGCACTTGAAAACTTGAGATCGCTGTTGTCATTTTTTTCTGCAGATGATAGCACAGAATTTGGAAGCAATTAATGAGACTAGGGCCATAGGTTAATGTCCTATGTGACAGGGCCAGTGAATATAAATTGCATAATACTACTACTTAGCAGTAGTTTTCGTGATCTGTTTTTGAAATCCAAAGCAGTACAGAACAAGAACTTGCATGTCATCTCTAATAACTTGAGAGCGCTAATAGGAACAGCGCCATTTATTGGGAATGCAAAACAAACACTCCCTCCTCTCTCAGACACCATGCATTTTATGAGAGTGATTGCATATAGATGCTTTTATATGTACGAGCTTGTTTGAGATTTGTGCTTTCATCTTGCCTTTTTTTTTTCTAGATAGCTTGTATTTGCAGTTATCTGCATCTCTAATTAAAGAGCAGGAAGACAGGTCAAAAGCATTTAAAAGAGAAGCAGCCAACAACTACTGGAAATCTGCAACCCAAAGCGCACACATCTGGTGACATGATAATTCTTGCTCAGGTTTGTTAGGTTAAGCTGAGGGGTTGGGTATGAGTAGAGGTGGTGCTGAGCTCACAACTGAATTGAATTGCGTGTTTAAGCTGAAGACTGTACAAGCTAAGTAAGCAACATCAGTACTAGAGGCTGGCTCAAAGAGTAGAAAATATGGGAAACAAGGCAGTTTTAGCAATGATGGGATCAACAGACTTAATGAAATCCTACATAAGCCTATGTTTGGGTCTCATTGTCTCTCCAGTGACTTGCTTTCTCTTGCAGTTGTTTGCCTTCATCTCAGGTTATGCTGTGTAATTCTCCCCACCATTATAATTCTGGCTTTCTTGTACTTGTAATGATTAATGCTGAAATGTTTTCCTAATGTTTAGGAGGGTAAAAGGAAGTGTCTAGGGCACCTAAAATGTAATCTCTATCTCAGGATTCCCCAGACAGGTTGGTTTTGGATCGTTAGAGATATGTTGTTGAGGTGAACTCTTGTCACCTCTTCACTGGTTTACAATTGTAGGCAGAGGGCAGGGGAGTGATTTACTGCATGTTTAGGACAATTAAGTTATTGAGCAGATACAATGCTTGATGGTAACATAGGTAACTCTTATGCATGTTCTTATTCTTTCCTGTGTGTCCTTGAAACAACCTTGACAAAACAGAGGAAAGCTCTAATGAAATGTTAAGCTCTTAATAAAGAAATACTTAACTGAAACAATTTTTGAGTGGTGCTAGGTATTTAACCAAAAAGGTTAACTGAAACAAAACAAAATTTTAAGTGAGGCGGGGAGGAAGAAGACTTGCTGAAAGAGTTTCAGTCAACGCTTATCTTGGAGCAGCGCCACTTTTAGAAAGACCAGAATATTGCCAGTAAAAATAACTTATCTGAATTTTCCTAGGAGTTATTTTACATAAGTGCTTTCAGATTATATTTGTAGAGGAAGACAAATCCTTACTGAGTAACCAAATGCTTCTACTACAAAGTTTAGCTGGATATTCACATAACATGATCACTGACATTGCATGGTTATTTACATTAACAAGAAAAGCAGTTAAATTGCAAAAATATTTATTTTTTAATTCATTGTAAAAATAGAAGAAAAATTTCTGCGAAGTTAATAACAATCCTAAGTAGAAAGGATGATGCTCAAGAGGATGAGGCCAGCCTCTTCTCCGTGGTGCCCAGCAACAGGACAAGAGGCAATGGGCAGAAACTGAACCACAGGAAGTTCCACCTGAACCTGAGAAAAAACTTCTTGGCTGTGAGGGTGACAGAGCATTGGAACAGGTTGCCCAGCGAGGTAGTGGAGTCTCCTTCGCTGGAGATGTTCAGAACCCGTCTGGATGTGATCCTGGGCAATATGCTCTAGAGGTCCCTGCTTGAGCAGGGAGGTTGGACTAGATGATCTCCAGAGGTCCCTTCCAACCTAAACGATTCTGTGATTCTGTGATTCTGCTGATGAAGTGTTTCTGAGCTGTAAAACTGGGGAAGTTATGATATAGACTTGCAAATACTGTTCAGAACTTATTGTCAAAAACATAGCACAAGATTTAACAAATGCAACAAGACACTACATCTCTACTCAGCTACACACTGTTGGAGCTAAAACACTGTTCTGTGCGCTCTATGTTAATGCCTGTTGAATATACTTTTGGCGCGTGTGGCCCCAGTTCTTGAACTGAATCTGCTTCTGTGGACTTTAGTGGCCATATAAACTGAGGTCTCCCACATCTTGATGTGACACAGTGGTGATCAGACAGCACACATGCCCCAGAAAGGACAGGGGCAGAAGCTTGTTTCTGTTGAAGCAACTAAGTTCTGGTGCACCCATCTTGAAAACAAAGGCTGAGAGGACTGAGATAACAGCAATAAGGACCATTGAAAACAGTGGGCTGAGATGACATGATGTCAGATCCTGAAGTAATGGAGGTTTCCAATGTTCAAATCTGATCCAGCCTCCTCTTCCTGCCTAGTATGACTCATTTTCATCCATCTCTTTTGGGCTTTCATCTTGGGAAAGAAACAAAGAAGGGAAAATGCCAGTCTCAGGTACGGGTTGCAGTGATGGCAGGCATCTTTCTTGTAAGAATGGCATTTGAGCCAAGCATAAGTAAGTCTCAAAATAATCCATAGACTCTCCTTCTTGCATCTCTGTTAAGATCTGGTAGTCCCCAAAACAAATGATGCACTTCCACGGCAGGTCAATTTTGTTTAAGTAACCCAGTTCTGTGCGGTCCACAATCAGCTTAGTTTTCTTGCTCATGTTCTTTATCTCAAAACAAAATTCTGAGCTGTTAAGTTTTCTGTAAAACTGCAAAGAAAACTGAATCCGAGAAACACGAGAATCTATTAAGTTGTAACGGCAGATGCTGGAATCACGGCCAAACTTAGCCGTTTCATCTACCCTGAGCTGTTCTCGCTTACAGAAATTCAGGCAACGAAACATCATCTTATCTTCTTGGCAAGGATGGTAAAAAGTCATATGGAGACACGTTACTGTTTCTTCAGTTTCAGCTTCTTCATAAGAGGTCATGATGAAATGAGTCCTCAGAACTACGAGAAAGAAGCAAAATCAGAGCATGGAAACATGCAGTACCAAAAAAAAAAAAAAAAAGGTACTACTTCAGGCTGGCATTAAAATACTTTACATGCTATTGTTTAGTGACTATGTATTTATAAAGAAACGTTGACAGCAAACAATGAAATTACTGGAACAAAGATGTGGGAGTAGAACATACCTAGTCCACGGTTATCATCGTTTCCCACCACTGTGCCAAAGGCTCCGCAGTGACCACTGCTAAATAACAGATTGCTCTGTGCTGAACTCTTGCCAGCTATATAAAGTAAGGTTGATAGCCATCTCCTATGCGACGGTTACTTAGCACTTGAGACCTCCGAAAAAATACGACTGTAAATTGCTACCAACTAGTTCTTCATAAGGATCTCACAAGTAGATTTATCTTTGGAAGAAATATGTCACTTAGCAGGAAAGAAATATATTAAGACTTGTTCTAGGGACCTATAATAGAGCACTAAGTAGTAGTATTTGTGACTGTGCGCACAGTTTTACAGTGTATTCCGTTGACTTGATTTCATACAAGTAACTTTTACAAGTGCAAGCTGACTGTAGGCGGTAATATTTCAAAATTGTCAAAAGCAACATGCTGGATCTTTAGTCAGATTTTGCGTCTTGTATAAAACAAAATACAATGTTTAGAAATGACTGACGTGACAGTGTGTGAAATGAAACCAAAAGCTGGAATTTCAGCGGGACCTAAAGCAGGAGTTGTCACTAATTCTCGTTATTCCACTTTTGGCTCACTGCCTACCTGGGAAATTCCCACTCCCGGGAATCTACAGCAGAAGTGTCACAGAACTAACAAATAAGTTTTGTTGTTGTTTTCTTTTGAAAAGCTTCTCAAATGCAGCGCAGAGATATTTGCTTATGAACTAAGTTCTATTGCAAAGTCTGAGTTACTGCAGTGCCTCCCAATAAACTATATGAGACACTAGAAAACATTGCAGTGTGGTGCTCTATACATGCATGCCAAATATTTAAAAGTAATAGTTCCTGGACTGAAACTTAGTCTAAAGAAAGAAAAGACAGGGTAATTAAAGTAGGAACCTGAGAATGAGTTCTCAGTTACTCACTAGAGAAACATCTTGTTCAACTGTATTATTAACAAGTAGCCATTTACATGGAGTCATATAGTGCAGAAGTTGGCAATGTTTTTCCTTTTAGATCGCAGTAAGTTCCCAACACGTCACACTGATTCTGAACTTTCTCACCAGCTCTGTTCAGTGAATCGTTATGAGAAGCAATTACAGTTCAATCTGTTCTGTTTTATGGCGAGGTGAATCATCGCTGCGGTAAGTAACATGTAGCTTCTTGCTTTTAAAGGCTAAATTATACTAGTGTTTGTAAACTGCAGGCACAGTGAAAAATGTGTCAGTGCACCTCTTTCTAGGTGAAACCTAGAATTCTCTTCCTTCTAGACTTGGGTGTCAGAAACGTTGCTGTTCCTGCATTACAAGTTTGGCAAAAGTTTAGTTTACTTTCTTAAGTAGCCTACAGCAGGCCTTCTACCAAGCTTAGTGGATAAGAGAAACATCAAATTTCAAGTAGATCTCACTTTAAACCAAGTGAGAAAATGTGATCTATGCTTTTGACAAAAAGCATGAACTGACACCCTGCTGGCAGGTTATTAAGGAATAACCATCGTCTACAAGACAAGCTGCAGTGGCACGAGCCTTTACTACTCATTCTACTAGTATTTGTCAACTCCAATTAGTTGGAAGCACCTCTGTGAGCTAGAGACTGACCCTTTCTGTGTTTAGTTCTCCACTTCCCTGTTTTGCACCAGTGACAGGAAGTGCAATGTGTTACATGAGGTCAACTTTGTTCCAAGGGGAAAACCAACTCCTTTCATTTAGTTCACAAAACAGTCTACAGAGGGAGTTTTCAGTTTCAAGACTTGGGCTGAATTTGATACCGATGTAAAAGCATGTTCTGCTCCCATTAGTTTCTTTATCTGTTTCCGAAGTGCATCATGGCTGGGCAAAAATGAGACAGGAATATGAAGAAATATATTCTGAGGAATTTCCAGAGTGCACAACTGTATAGAACATCAATGAAAAATACTGTCTTCCTACATTCTTTTCAAAAAAATGTGACATGTATTAATTGGAGAAGGAGTAGGAACCTTTCCAAAAGCGGTATGTCAAGAAACGTTCAGTGGTAAACGCTGCCTTTGAGAGGCAAACTGCCACAGATTGCTTCAGAAATACAGCAGCACTCATTGAACTTGGATCTCAGCAGCTCCTAGACCATTATGTCCTATTCAAGATCTACTGTATGCCACCTCAGGCACCCCAAGCCCTGTTGCTGAGTCCTGTATTAAGTTTACTGAAGAAGGATTGAGCAGACTTTCACCTAAATCCTGAAGAAATCTGTATGTGCTGCATTGTACTGGAGAACAAAAGGACTGTACTGGACAGGAGAAAGGCTTCAAGAGTTCTATCTGGAGAAAGAAGCTTTCCTCGAGTTAAAAATCACCATTTCTCCTGTGCTGAAATGCAACCATTGTCCTGTGTTGCCTACAAACTTCATTTGAGTCAAATGATCATGATCTTACCACTTTCTCTTCTCCCAACATCCTCTCTTTCTCTGTGCAAAAGAGAGGAGTTGGTTTTAATGAGCAGACTTCAACATTAGCCTATCAGCTGGATTTGTTGTGTAACTCCTGTAGGCTTTATTAACTGAATGTTCTTGGAATACTCTCCACAGATGGAGTTATGTTAATTTTCCTCACTCTCTTTACGGTACTTTTCACCGTGAGGACCCAAGTTCTTCAAAGCATTAATGTTCAGAATGGGATTACCATTGTCTCCGTTTTGCAGATACAGAAGAATGACACAGAGAAATAAGAACTAAGATACCTAGCTTGAGATCCTTAGGGCTCCAGCTTGTTTGAGTGTTTAATAAACAATTCATTCAAGAGTTTTAACTGTCTACATGCAAGTTAATAGTTCAGAGTGCTCTGCCACTTTGCTTTCAAATTAGAACATAAGGTTTCAACCTGAATACTAAGAAAAAGAGTAACATCTGTTTTGTGGCCACTTTTCATTTTAAATGACCATGAATGGCAGTGGAGGGGCGGTGCAGAACACGATTTTCAAGCACGTTACATGATTGCTTCAAAGTGCACAGCTATGCTTTTTGTCCTCCTGAAATCCTATGCTGTGGTCTCTAGAGTATTTTCCACTGTCTGTAAGAGACTGGTAGGAGGCCAGCAGACAACAGCCTCTTTTACAGGCTTGATTCATCCCCAGGCAGGTGTGTCCCACGCACTGAGTGACTCAGGTGTCTAATGCAGACAGTAAGGCGTGCACACCTAAATAAACACTGTGCATTACACAGCTGTATGTGGAAAACAAGCATTTCCTGGGCAAACGTACTTCTGACATATCCTAGCTTTGTGCTGCGTGCTTTCTGCAAACTTAGTGTTGTTTACATAATATAATCTCTGTTGTAGCTGCACCGAATTTGCAAGAGCATATGCTTAAGCTGTCGTTCAGTCCCGGTCCCCTGCGTGCACCGACCGCACTCCCCGAACATGAATCCATGCTGCTCTGAGGTATTTCAGCCGCAAAACTCGGTCAGTTTCTCATGGTGCCGATCACAGGTATTTTAACGGTGGAAATTTCCAGAAGAAAATTCACAGGCCAACGCCATTACCTGAATCAGAAGTTCCCGGAAAGCCCCAGCCGACTCCAAAGCCTCGTCCAGTGCCTCAGCTGGAAAGCGACCGCACAGGGCTAC